TATATATAGGAGGGTCATTCAATAAATAAGGTGAATTTTTGGGCAAAAGGACTTCGAATACAGATGGAAACGTACTTTTTTTCCTCCTTTTTTTTTTTTTTTTTTTTTTTACGTATTCTACCAGCACTTTTCCCATCTGCACACAAGCTTCCATATTCCCTCGGCGAAAAAAATCTCTGGACTGATGTCTCAGCCAGTCGCTCACAACACTTTTGACTTCATCGACCAACTACAATGACTTGCGAAGGGAGGTCAAGAAGGATATCAAGAACAAATGCAGGGGTCATCAGTCGGAAGGAGTCATCTTGCATCGTGACAACGCAAGGCCTCACGCAGTCGCCTGAACGGTGCAGACTATCAACGAGCTTGGTTGGGAACTGCTCCCTCATCCCCCATCTAGCCCAGACCTTGCCTCTTTCAGACTTTCAACCTGTTTGGTCTCTTAAAAACGTTCATGACACTAAGTAAGCTTCTGTCTGTATTAGAAATCCTGACACCATAAAATTCACCTTATTTTTTGAATGACCCTCGTACTTTCAGTGGTGAAATATAGCCATCCCGACCACTTCTTCGAGATATGCAGACACACATTCAGTGCCCTTTATACCCTTTAAATGCATCAGTTTCAAAAACACTTTTTGACAAACCATAACAGTGCCAAAGCTACAAAAATTAATATGGTAATAAAGTCGCAACAGTAATATGCAAAATTAGCAAAAAAAAAAAAAAAAAACCAAAAAACTGACTCATGAGTAAACAGTTTAGGGGAGTTGATGGCAAGTGGAAAGAAGCTCCTGGAATGTCTGGTGGGTTTTGTGTGCATTCTATAGTGCCTGCCTGAGGTAAGGCACTGGAAGAGGTCCTAACCAGGATGTGCAGGAGCCAAGTGAAATGTTGGGGGGGCGGTGGGGGGGGGGGGTTGCATTCAAATGTGTCAAGTGTTATTGTTGTAAACCATAAAATAGAACAATTTTAATGATCCAACACATCCTTGCCATCTAGTCCTGGAGGATAAAAACGGAATATGATTGCTGTTCCATCAAGTGCATTGGGAACCTTAAACTGAATTGTGTTTGTATTGATTCCCAGGTATGTTGCTGTCACACTGGAGGACGAGGGGTCAATAGGCAAGTGACAGGATTTTACTTCAGGGACACTTAGATGACAGTGACCTGCGGCCAGCTGTCATTTATGCACCTTATGCTTTTGTAAAACCATTTTATAGGAATCAGGAGTGAACAGGACGGGACGGTTTATAGTTATGCAAAGCACAGAGGAGCAGCTTATCATCAGTTAAAGTTCAAAAGAGTAAATCATCTTAATCATCTCTGTTCCCGCTCCTTTTTTGCTGCCTGGTCTCTCACACTTCATCTGCTAAGGACATTGGGGATATGTGAGAATCTGATTTCTTTCTTTCTTTCTTTCTTTCTTTTTTTGTGTTTCAGTCCTGTGGCAGCTCACATAAGCAAATCTCGGAATTCTGCCACAGAAAGTACCACAGTGTCATTAAAAAAATGATCTACAAAATTTTACAAAAGTCAAGTTTAGAAACAGAACATTCATCCATTTTCCGAATCGCTTTTATCCTCACAAGGGCTGCGGGGGGTGCGTAGACCATCCCAGCCGTCTCCGGGCAGTAGGCGGGGGATACCTTGAACCGGTTGCCAGCCAATCGCAGGGCACACAGAGACAAACAACCATCCGCGCTCACACTCACACCTCGGGACAAT